TACTTTTTTTTGTTGAAAGAAATCCTGAGTCAATTAGATAAGAAAATTCAAGGTTTAATAAGTTTTACATAAATTTAAAATAATTGAAAAAATATAGTATGTAACTATGTAATAGATTGTTTTTTGGTTGAAAGAAATCCTGACAGTTTTTTTATAATATTTTATATTATTTTATATAAGAAAAGATAAAGTGCAATCAGTTTAACGTAAATTTACATTAGTTGAAAAAATATGGTATGCAACTATTACTCCTTTTTTGGTTGAAAAAAGTCTTGAGACATTTTTATATAAGAAAAGTCACAGTACACCAAGTTTTACATAAATTTGTAGTAGTTGAAAAAATATAGTATGCAACTATTGCTTTGGTTGTAGGCTTCCTGTCCCGATATATATCGTGGGAAGTACCGCGATTCCGACTATACGAAAGAAGAACTGTCAAAATTATACTCTGATGAGATTTTGACAATCTGTCAAAATGTCTCAGATGAGAAAGGAGAGAAAATCTGCGCTTTCATCGCTGAGAGTCTCCTGAGTTGTGGTGGTCAAATTTTCCCGCCTGAAAATTACATGAAAAATGTCTACAATCACGTGAGACAAAATGGCGGCGTTTGTATCGCCGATGAAGTCCAAGTTGGCTTTGGACGTTTGGGGAAACACTGGTGGGGCTTCCAGATGCACGACGTGGTACCAGACATAGTGACGATGGGTAAACCCATGGGTAATGGGCATCCCATTGCTGCAGTGGTGACAACTGAAGAAATCGCTGAAAGTTTCCGAAAAACCGGCGTCGAGTACTTTAACACAGTAAGTTGGCACGACTGAAAACTAAAAATTTTGTAATCTGGGGATTTTTCTCTAGTACGGTGGCAATCCTGTTTCTTGTGCCATAGCCAACGCTGTTTTTGATACTATCGAGAAGGAGAATTTACGAGAGCATGCATTAGTCGTCGGGGAGTATTTATTTGACAGCTGTCAAATTTTAGCAAAGAAACACACCTGTATTGGGGATGTGCGTGGTGTTGGTTTGTTTCTGGGGATTGAAATTGTTAAAGATCGGGATTTGAGGACGCCGGATAAAGACACGGCCAACTATGTTGTCAAAAGGTACATTCTTTTTCTGTGCGAGTGTACATTTTTGGGTACATTCTTTTTGTGAGTGAGTGTACATTTTTGCTTTTTTTTGGTAGGATGCGGGAGGAGCACATTTTGGTCAGTGCTGACGGTCCGGATTGCAACGTAATAAAAATAAAACCCCCTATGGTTTTTACCAAAGAAAATGTTGATGAAGTTGTTTCGACCCTTGATCGAGTTTTGAAGGAGTTGAGGGAGAGTTTGCAGAAATTGTCGAATGGGAAAAGCACCGAAATGCCGAGTAAAGAGCCAAGGACGAGGAAATCGCCCAAAGAAGATAGGATTAAGTCGATTTAATTTATTGTTCAGTATTTTGTATGTTTTCTGTGAAAATAAATCTATTGTGAATTAGTGGGGTGTTTTGATTTTTGGGTGATTTGGGGTCGTTTATCACGGAGGGTTGGGATTTGGGGGCTTTAAACGGGACAAGGAAGATACATCTGGGATGATTGGCCGGGATGATGGATGGTGGCGTGACAGGGATTAATGAAAAGGGTGAAATTTGGGATTTTTGATGGGAAAGTTATTGAAATCTCAAAATTTATCGATCGTAGGGAAAAAATAATGTCAGATTTGAATTCCTGAGACAATTTTACGTAAGAAAAGAAAAAAATTAAGTTTTTTGGATTATATCCCTTGATGGAAAAAATTCTTGAATGGTCCTGTCACGTTTTTTATCTTCACTTATTGAGTTTTGCTCGATTTTTCAAAAATTATTGGTCTTAGAGGAAAAATAGTACTAGATTTGAAATTCTGAGACAATTCTACAAAACAAAAACCAAAAATTGAGGTTTTTAGATGATCCACATTTATGGAAAAAATTCGTGAAGGGATACTCATCGAAAGTTTTTTGTTAATGAACTGAATTTTTACTGAAATATAAAAAAATAATGCTCGTAGATAAAAAACAAAAACACATTTGGAATTCTGAGGTAATTTTACGTAAGAAAAGCAAAGAATCAAATTTCTTGGATTATATTCCTTGTTGGAAAAAATTCTTGAATAGACTACTTGGCTCACTTGGTTTTTACTTTCACTTACCGAATTTTGGTTGATTTCTCAAAAACTATTAGTCTTAGAGAAAAAGTAGCATCAGATTTGGAATTCTGACAATTTAACATTAGAAAATAAAAAATTGAACTTTTTAGACTATCTATATTTATGGAAAAAATTCTTGAATAGATTACTCAACTAAAATTTTTGCGTTAACGAACTGAATTTTTATTGAAATCTCAAAAACTATTGCTCGTAGATAAAAAACAAAAACAGATTTGGAATTCTAAGATAATTTTACGTGAGAGAAGCGAAAAATCAAGTTTCTTAGATTATATTCCTTGTTGGAAAAAATTCTTGAAGAGACCACTCACTTAGTTTTTAGCTTCACCTACCGAATTTTGATCGATTTTTCAAAAAATATTGGTGTTAGAGGAAAAATAGCACCAAATTTGAAATCCCGAGACAATTCTACATAAGAAAACTTAAAACTTGAGGTTTTTAGATTATACACATTTATGGAAAAAATTCTTGAATAGAAACTCAACTAATGTTTTTATGTTAACAAACTGAATTTTGACCGAAATCTCATAAACTATTGCTCGTACATAAAAAACAAAAATAGATCTGGAATTCTGAGATAATTTTACATAAGAGCAAAAAATCAAGTTTCTTAGATTATATTCCTTGTTGGAAAAAATTCTTGAAGAGACCACTTACTTAGTTTTTATCTTCACTTACTGAATTTTAATCGATTTGTCAAAAACTATTACAGAAAAAATAACACCAAATTTGAAATCCTGAGACAATTCTATATAAGAAAATTGAAAAATTGAGGTTTTTAAATTATACACATTTATGGAAAAAATTCTTGAATGGATACTCAACTAAAATTTTACGTTAACGATCTGAATTTTTACTGAAATGTCTAAAATTATTGCTCGTAGATAAAAAACGAAAACAGATTTGGAATTCTGAGATAATTTTACATCAGAAAAGCAAAGAATCAAGTTTATTAGATTATATTCCTTGATAGAAAATTTTTTTGAAGAGACTACTCACTTAATTTTTACGTTCACTGACCGATTTCTCAAAAACTATGGATCTTAGAGGAAAAATAGCACCAGATTTGAAATCCTGAGACAATTTTACATTAGAAATCTAAAAAATTGAGGTTTCTAGATTATGCACATTTTTAGAAAAAATTCTTGAAGGGATACTCATCTAAAGTTTTTGCGTTATCGACCTGAATTTTGACTCAAATCTCAAAAACTATTGCTTGTAGACAAAAACCAAAAGCTGATTTGAATTTGTGAGACAATTTTACGTACGACAAGTCTAAATTTGAGGCGTTTCAAACGTTTTGAGGAAAAAAAAACAGACTCAAAATGCACAATTTACTCTTTCTTTCAAGCTGACACTATTTGACCATCAAAATTGACACATCCCAAGGTACGATCAGACTTCTCGCCTACCATGAACGCAGTTACGATCCAGTACCACCCAGAAACGGGCAAATGTCCAACAGCAGACCCATCAAAAGTACCATTTCTGAAACTGTAAACCCCTTTTTTGAAAGGACACGCAAACGGGGGATCACACATTTTCAGAAATGGACTCCAAGGCTTATTATCATCGTTCAAAATCCCACAAAAGTGATTCATGTTAATATTTTGGTACTTCTCACACGAATCCAAGGCCTCCCGCGATTTGCATCTATTGAGCACTAGTTTTATCTAAAATTCGGTTTGGTTATAACCCAAAACGTTTTTTTTTTTACCTTTATGTCTTCGTGGAGTGTCTCTCGAATTAAAACTTGTGCAGAAATTAAGTTAATCCGATTCGAGAAGGCTATTTGGACGTTTTTCACGACCAAAAGGTCCTTTTCGTGGCCGGGACACGTTGAAAATTTATGTACTCTGATTGTTTTTGGTTTCTGGAAATTTAATTTAGTTGAGTTTAATACATTATTTTTTTTACCATCATATTCAGAATTTGGCCATTTATGGGCAAAAAATAGTAAATGAACAAAATCCACTTCCAAGCTGCCATGATTTACCAGAATACGAGTTTTAGTTAAGTGTAATGAGAATAAATATTAATTTTTATCAATTGATCTGATGACAAAATTATTACAAATGATCTAATTGACCTTCATTACCTTATCAGCGGTTTTAATTAAATGGACTCAACGTTTTGTCATTGTATTACAATGAATACGTTTTAAAAGATTTGCTTTTGATTTTAAAATATTAATGTTTTGATTTTTTTTGTTAAGAAATCAGTTAAAATATTTGGAATCTTAACGTTTTTTAAGTAGAATGCTTCTGAAATTTTAAATCTGTTTTTGTTTCAGTCTGGAATCTAAATTATTTTTAATATTAATCGACATTCAGTACATTAGGGTCAAAATTTTAAATAAATTAAGAGTAAAATTTGGATTTTTTGTCGTTAAAACAAAGAGCAAAAATATTACAAATTATAGTTTTTTTATGTAAAATTGTCTCAGAATTTTAAATCTGTTTTTATTTTTCACGTACGATTAATAGTTTTTGAGATATCGGTCAAAATTCGACTCGACTTTGTCAAAATTAAGTGTAAACCCTTCTCCAGTTTATTTTTTTTTCATCAATACAAACGGGTGAAAAATCTAGAATTTTTACTTTTCTCACGTAAAATTGTTCAAGATATACAAATTTGTTTTTATTTTTTACCTATGAAAAATAATTTTCAAAATATAGGACAAAATTTTTAAGGGTTACCATTTTAAACGTTTCTGCTACTGAACTAAATTTTGTTTTTTTTTTGTTAAAATAAACCGTTGAAATGTTCTAATTAATGTTGTCTTGAATTAAATTATCTGAAAATTTTAATTTTTTTTTTGTTTTTGGTCTACAATCTATAATTTTTTAGATATTGGTCAAAATTTTAAATAAGCTAAAAGCAAAATTCGATTTTTTTTTCATTACAAGAAACAACAAAAATGTCACAAATTTTCTAATTTTAATGTAAAATTGTCTCAGAATTTTGAAATGTTTTTATTTTTCGTCTTCGACACATAGTTTTTGAGATATCGGTAAAACTTGGATTCTACTTTGTCAAAATCAAATCAACACGCTTTACCAGAATATTTAATTTTTTTCAGAGACACAAACAGCTGAAAAATCTGAAACTTTGACTACTCTTGGGTAAAATTGTCTAAGAATTTTAAATTTGTATTTGATTTGATATAACTTTAATATATTTCAAGTTATAATGAAATTTATGAACATTGAAATTTTTACCAAAAATTAGAGTTAACATTTGATTTTTTTCTAGGTTACACATTTACCAAATTTTATGGAAAATTATCTCAAAATTTCAAATTTGTTTTTATTTCTCGCCTTGAATTCTACCTTGTCAAAATCAAATCAAACGTTTTACCAGAATATTTAATTTTTTTCAGAGACACAAACAGCTGAAAAATATGAAACTTTGACTATCCTTGGGTAAAATTGTCTAAGAATTCCAAATTTTTATTTGTTTTTGATGAAAGTGTAATATATTCCAAGTTATAATAAAATTTATGAACATTGACTTGAAATTTTTACCAAAAGTTAGAGTTAACATTTGAATTTTTTCTAGGTTACACAATTACCAGATTTTATGTAAAATTATCTCAAAATTTTAAATACGACAAGCAGTTTTTGAGATTTCAGTCAAAGTTCAACTCGACGTTGTCAAAATTAAGTTGAAACTCTCCTCGCATTTATTAATTTTTTTCATGAACAAACGCCTGAAATATCACAAATTTTCACTTTTCTTACGTAAAATTGTAAAATTGATTCTAAAAATGAATGTATTTTTCATGTCACTGTAACAGTTTAAAAGTTTTTCGTTAATTTTTTCCAAAATCTTTTTTACTGCTTCTGAACTAAATTTTGTTTTATTTGTTTGTTAAAATGTTTCTAATTAATGTTGTCTTTAGTAAAATTATCTGAAAATTTTAAATTTGTTTTTGTTTTTGGTCTACAATCTATATTTTTTAAGATATTGGTCAAAATTCTAAATAAACTAAGAGTAAAATTTAAATTTTTGTCATTACAAGAAACAACAAAAATGAATTTTGTAATTCTAATGTAAAATTTTCTCAGAATTTTGAATTTGTTTTTTGTCTACAACAAACAGTTTTTGCGATATCGGTAAAATATGAATTCTACTTTGTCAAAATCAAATCAAACGCTTCACCAGAACATTTAATTTTTTTCAGAGATACAAATAGCTGAAATATCTGAAGCTTTAACTTTTCTTGGGTAAAATTGTCTAAGAATTTTAAATTTTTATTTGATGTAGGTTTAACATATTTCAAGTATAATAATAAAATTTATAAACCTTGACTTAAAATTTTTACTAAAAATTAAGTTAACATTTGAATTTTTTCTAGTTTAAAGAAACATTAAAAAGTTACAGATTTAACAACTTTTATGTAAAATTGTCTCAGAATTTCAAATCAGTTTTTATTTCTCGCCTACGACAAACAGTTTTTCAGATATCGGTCAAAATTAAATTGAAACCCTCCTCGCATTTATTTTTTTTTTCAGAAAAACAAACGGTTGAAATATCTGAAACTTTTACTTTTTTTGGACAAAATTGTCTAAGAATTCAGATTTTCATTTGTTTTTGATGTAAGTTTAATATATTTTAAGGTATAACAAAATTCATGAACATTGAGTTTTAAAAATTAGAGTTGTTACATTTGAATTTTTTCTAGTTTAAAGAAACACCAATAATTTAACAATTATAGTGTAAAATTGTCACAAAAGTCCAAATCTGTTTTTATTTTCTACCTCCAACTTATAGTTTTCAAGCTATTGATCAAAAACTTCAAGCTTACGTTTTATAATTTCAGGTTTTGTAAAAGTTTGGAGCAATAAAATACAAAAAATCCAATCGCTGTAAGTAAAATTCGCTCAACTGAAATTTTTCCTCCCTGAAACGAAACTTTTCCTCCCTCCAAACCGTTGTTTATAACGTCGTGCAATTACCTTACTTCCCCGATAATTGCTTTCGGTTGAAAGTTTTTCAGCCATTGTACATAAAGACCTCTCGTTAAAACTTAATGAGAAAAATAAGCCAAACTTTTACACAAGTGTGATTAGAAGATTTTTCACCCTTGTAATTAATTCCGACAAGTTTGTAATTATTGTAATTGTGTAAGTTTGTGATAATGGCGTGTATATTGTGATATGAAGGTAGAGGAATGAAATTGCTCTCTCCTGACTTCAAAACTAATAATCTCCGGGCCTTTATTGCAGTTAAGAAGTGACTAAGGCGGCGCTGGAAACCCACCCTAGTCGGGGGAAAACCCGAATTATTAATTTTCACAAAATTTCCCGTTAATGCACTGTTGTGGCTTGTCAATGCTGCCAACTGCAGCCGCTTAATTGTTTATTGTTGGAAATTGCGATAAATAAATTTTGATTAAAGTCTCTCGAAAAAATTATATTAAAATTCGAGTGAAAGAAATTTTTGGGATTTGCATCCAGTCTTGGAATTGAATGAGCATTTAAATTATTTAAGAGGCAACGCGATGCTAATTTAGAAAGTAATACAGATAAAGCGGGGTTTTAATTGAGTTTATGAGGCACGGTTTTAGGGATGAATGAGTTTTGCACTGAGACGTTTATTTTGACAGATATCTTGAAATCTGATACAGTTACGTGAAAAATTCATACAGATTTGAAATCCTTGGACAATTTTATGTAAGGAAAGTGAAATCTTGTGATATTTCAGCCGTTTGTTTTCATGAAAAAAATTAATAAATGCGAGGAGGTTTCAACTTAATTTTGACAACGTTGAGTTGAATTTTGACCGGTATCTCAAAAATTGTTAGTCGTAGGTGAGAAATAAAATCACATTTGAATTTTTGAGATAATTTTACATTTACATTGGTAAATGTATAACCTAGAAAAAATTCAAATGTTAACTCTAATTTTTGGTAAAAATTTCATGTCAATGTTCATTATAACTTGAAATATATTAAACTTAAAAACAAATAAAAATTTGGAATTCTTAGACAATTTTACCCAAAAAAAGTAAAAGTTTTAGATATTTCAGCTGTTTGTGTCTCTGAAAAAAATTAAATATTCTGGTAAAGCGTTTGATTTGATTTTGACAAGGTAGAATTCAAGTTTTTCCAATATCTCAAAAACTGTTTGTCGTAGACAAAGAATACATAAGAATGACAGAATTTGTGACATTTTTGTTGTTTCTTGTAATGACAAAAAATTCGAATTTTGCTTTTAGCTTATTTAAAATTTTGACCAATATCT